AGCTCCTGTCACCAAGTTAGCACAAATGAGTGACAGCCACGCTTAATGCGGGACCCTTGTGACATCACTATGCAATAGAATGCCTTGCTTTGATCTGTTTGAGTCTCAAGACTCTCCTGCTTCTACCTCCTGAGTAACAGAAGCAACTTCATGACTGTGATCTCAGGGGCTGGCTACTGTTGGTTGTTCCTCAACCAAACCTGTTTCTAAACAGTTTTAAAATTCTTGAACATGAACAATGACAACAAAAAACCCCCACACAACCAGGTATAGTGGTGCATATGTGTAATCTTATTTCTCAGAATGCTGAATCAGAAAGACCAGTACAAGCTGGAGGCCAGCCTGGGCTACAGAGGAGTTCTAGTCAGCCAGGAATGCATAGTGAGATCCTGTCTCAAAAACCCACCACCAATAACACAGCACACGCAAGCACCCCCACTGGCAAGCAGCCAGAAGGCTGTGCACCCGAGAGATGAGAGTTGCAGATCTGTGTCCCTCAGCCTGGCGTTTCTAAAGTGCCCATAGCAACACATGGCTCCAATCGCCAAGGCTCTGCCAGCAATGGAATAGACTGTATGCTGTTTCAAGGAAACCAGCTGGAGATTTCCTGCTTTTCTGATATACTGAAGACAGTCAGTGGACTTCAGAGAAGGAGTTCTGCTGGGAAAGGCAAGACAAGAATGACTCACAAATAATGCACACTTGTCATTCCACACTTGGGAGATAAAGACACACACCTTTAATCTCAGCACTCAGGAGGCAGGATCTCTGCGAGTTTGAGGCCAGCCTGATCTATAGAGTAGGGTCTAAGACAGCAAGGGCTGTCTTATAAAGAGACCTTGTCTCAAAAAAACCAAAAAGACAAAATTAAAAGAAATGAAAGAGAGAGAGAGCACATTCCTAGGATAAATACAAACACAGCACTAAGTCCATTGTGGATTTTTGTTGCTGTTGTTTAATTTATTTATTTTTTAATCAAGGTCAGTTTCTGGGATGCAGACAATGCCTCAAAGCTGACCAAAAGTCCTGGCCACCATCTCAGTATCCTGCAGCCAGCTGGCAGGTTACTAACTCACCTCTCTGTACGATGCCTCTTTGGGAACAGAGGCGTCCATCAGGACAGAAGGCCCATTTGTGCCTCCCTGTCTGTACTTCTTCAGGAGAAAACTAGCCTCATTTCTGTTCAAACATTCTGACCTGTATTTCCCCATCAGAGTTACTCTGACCAATGCCTATGTTGGAAACAAGTTTATAGCTCTAAACAACACTTTTAAAAAGATGCCAGGCGTGTCTGCTTGTGTTCTGTGTGCCATGGACCCGAGAAGGGCAGGAGCCATGGAGACCGCCTGAGCGTCCACGGAGGGAGGAAGCCTCTGTTAGGAAATGTCAGAGGCTAAATGGGTTAGCCTATGCCAGGAAACCATCTGTAGTATGGCCTGGCAGTCTCCAGTTACTGCTGCGTGGACTTCACACTCCATAGCCTTAGTTGTTAATTACATTCAAGTATCTTTCAGTGCATGCGTCCACGTTCGAACCTCTTGGGGGTGCCGCCTGGCTGAGCAACAGGTTGGTAACTGCCTCTACCACGCACCACCGAGACTTAGGGCACCAGTGTGTTCCAATGCTTGGCTGTCAGGAAGGGAATACTTAAGTAGAGATACTGAACACCAAGGAGTAAAGCAGCCTGCACCGGAACTGCTTTGGCTGCTGGGGGGAGCAGCTGGGAATTCCAGAAACTACAGACCAGGGATCTGCCTAACGATGGCGGGCCCTCACAGCGATGCTGATAGTTAACGCTTATTTAAAAAAACAAACAAACAAAACTACTGAACCAAATACAGACCAAGGCTGTGAGGGGGAGGTGGAACTGGATTCTCCCTGTCAGGTTGTCTGCAGTGTTTTCACATTCGCAGGAGGTGAGGGCTAATTACAAGGTTGTGGTGAGCGGCTTGACACAATCTGATTGCGGGATAATTTTTACAGTTTGGAGTTACAATTAAAGGGTGTGAACGTCTCTTAATTAACAAAGCTGAGGGCCTCAGCCACAAGTCCCCCCATTAGGGGTCTGGCTACTTTCTACATGGTGCCCTCAGCCTTCCTTCCCATCCCCATTACACTGCTGGGCAGAAGTCAAGGTTTGTGCCGGAAGTGAAAGTGTGTGCATGGGCGTGCAGTGCACATGTGATTGCATGCGTGCCTATGTGTGTATGGGTGTGCATGCGCACACATGGCTGTGTAGGTCAGAGGACAACTTGGCAAGTATCTCTTCATTACTACGTGAGTCCTGGGGACTGAACTCAGATAGTCAGGCTTGGTGACAAAGCCCTTGTTATTCCACTGGGTAATCTCCTTGACCTGTGCTATGTAATTCTTTTCTTTTTAAGATTTTGAGACAGGTTTCTCTGTGTAGCCCTGGCTGTGCTGGACTGCCTTTGTAGACCAGGCTGGCCTTGAACTCATGGAGATCTGCCTGCCTCTGCCTCCCAAGTACTGGGATTAAAGGTGTGTGCCACCATGCCTAGCTGCTATGTAATTTTTAATACCTTTTCACTGAATGGACCTATCAGAATAAAAACTGTGGGTCTGTGTTGGTTCATGTAGCCCAGTGTAACCTGGAACTTGTTATGTAGAACTTCTAGAACTTCTGATTCTCCTGCGTCTGTCGCCCAGCCCCTGGGATTACACTTTCGCAACACCATGCCTGGATCATGCAGTGCTGGGGATTAAGCCCACGGATTTGCGTGATCCAGCAAGAGCCCTGCCAACTGAGCACCATTCCCCACCTTCAAAATTCTAGGAAGATTTGTGATATATATAACCAAAGTGAACAACAGTATCTGTGAGCAAAGGTGAACTGAGGAAAGCCTGTGGGTGACTTGAAGCCCTGAATGTCTGTGACTCACTCCAGTGCAATTTGTGGGGTGCAGGGAAGGGCTGTGGGATTCCCCTTCCTGCTAGCAACACATTCCAGACAACGGCCAGGGTCCTCATCTGAGTTTGTACCATTTTGGAAGAACAGTGGCAGCAAGACAACCAGGCCACTGACACAGACTCTAGCACAAACAGCAGCTCAGAGGCAGAGCCGGGCCCTGACTTCAGGAAAATGAGGCACAGCTGGGTCAGCCCTCACAGGGTCACAGATGAATTTCACCAGGTGAAATTCCTGGTATTTTCACACACACACAGAGCTTCCTGGAAGACAGGACTTGAGTGGCAGTCCTGGGACTAAATGACAGCCTCCTCCTCCTGCCTGTGAGAGACATGTGACATGCAAGGGAAGCTAGACACCCTGCAGACGGAAAGGCTGCTTTCAACGGCCCAACTATGGAAAGTTGGAATGCTGCAGACTGAGAACTAAGATTATCTTGGACAAGCGGTTAGTCCCTTTAACAGCCATTTATCACCCACCTCTGTATGGGACCTAACATCTTTCTTACTGTAAGGTAAAAACAATTCCATTATATTAACTTAGGACCATTAGCTTCTACGAACCCCACAGCCAAGACTGTCATCGGATAGCGTCTTGGATGACGTCGCCACGTGGCTGTAAGCACCTGCTTTGGTGGCCCCACCAATGTAGTTAGTAAGTGCCTTGGTTTAGAACTTCCTTTTATTCTGGGACTGTGAAAGTTCACGTACGTTCCCAGGCTAGGACCCCTCCTACGGGTCTCAGATAAACTCTGGCGGAGCAGCCAGATGGCAGGCAGTACAGACTGCGAACCTCGTCTGCACCACTGGACTCACACCGCGTTCTCACTGAAGTTTTCTACTCTTGCCATAAAACGTCAGCAACAGCTCAGAACAATTCCTAGAGTGTCATCGCCATCACGAGCGCTGGCGCACACACCACACACCAGCCCTCTCTCACGCACACCTATCTTCAGTTCCTATTTTTTAATTCTTAAGACTTTAAAAAAACAAAACAAAACAAAACATTTCACACATCCGGGACCTGTAAAGAGCTCACTGTGAAGCTGAGACTACCTTGCATTCCTGATTCTCCTGCCTCCACCTCCGGAGTGCAGGACAACAACTAGGAGCCGCCGCGCACACTTTAGAGTGCCGGGAACTGCGCCCACGGCTTTGTCCACGCAAGGCAGGCACTCTACCAGCTGGACTACAAACTGTGTCCCCTAAACTGCCTGAAAGCTCACTCGGAGGAAGTCGTGGCCCGTATCTGTAATGGACTCCAGCAGTCTGGAGGTGGGGGCATGAAAGGCAGGCGGTTCAAGGCCAGCCTGGGCTACACTGCAGTAACAAGTCGCCTAATGTTGGAAAAAGGAACCAGGAAGTCTTCCTGCGGTTTACGCCCAAGCTCAGTTGTATTTACCGTTTCAGTTTTATTTAATTTATGCTAATCTACATACCGGTCAAAACAAACACCCTCTTAGGAACTGCAAAAGATATCACGGACCCCGTTCGGACAGCACTCTACTGTTTTTAAAACAAAAGCCTGTGCGAGTCTGCGAAAGAGCCTCACGTCAGCGCAGACCTCCTGTGACTCAGGGCGGCCTCTACTCCCCACACAAACTACTCGAAATTCACACGCCCCGTGGAACTACCCTCCAGCCCTCCGCAGGGAAGGGGCGGGGCGCCCGCGGGGTCTCCAAGGCTGGATGCCCGCGGCTGTCCCCTCGACGGTGGCCGAGGCCCGCGGGATGATGGGGCGCGCACAGGCAAAGAGCTGACCCAGGGGCCCTCAAGCCATCGTCCTCTTGCACTTACTTCACTGGCCCAGACGGGGAGAGGGCCCGGGGAGGGAAGCTGTCCCACGCCCGGATTGGGCCCCTGAACGGCTCAGCGAGGTCCCCACGGCACAGGGCGCTACCCTGAGGCTCGCTCCGCGCGCGCATCTGCCCTGGTCTAGCGGAGCTCCCCCAGCCCCGGGACTCTCCCACGTGCCACGGCCTGAGCTAGGGACCAGCCGTCCGGGAACCTCGCGCCACCAAGGCTCGGCGACCGTGCTGCCCCAGCACCCGCCACCTCCGGCCGGCTCTTACCTGCCCCGCGCAGCAGGCGAGCTGTGCCCAGCAGGAGGGCGCCCAGCAGTGCGGCCGGGAACCCGCACGCCGGGCGGGCCATGGCTCGGGGGCGCCTCGCTCTCCGCAGGGCGCGACCGTGGCTTGTGTCTCCAGCGGCCTCCGCGGCGCCGGGGAACCACACGCAGGGCGCCCCGCCCCGGCCCGCGCTCACCTGCGCGCCCGCCCCTCCCGCCCGCCCGCTCGGCAGCAGCCAGGGTGACCCGTGCTTCCTCCCGGGCCTCCTCCCCTTCCTGCCTCACTCAGGTACTACCCTCACTTGCCCGGTGGCTTTGAGGCAAGTTTGTCCCCGCCTTCCCGGGCTTCACTTCCTTTCTCCAAGTCCAGAGGACCGTGATTGCGGCCAGCTCCTCCCCGCGCTGTCCAGGTGTGCCTGTGGCAAGGAGGGCAGTCTTCCTGGGGGCCCACTGATCGCTAACCTTTCGATTCCTCTGCTTCTGGACTGGCCGGGAGGCCCGCCCTAGCCTCTGCCCTGCAGTGTCGACTGCTCACATCGGCCTTTCCCTCTGACAGACAAGATACGCTTTCCTATTTGGGCAATGAGCCCCAAGTTGCCAGGGCAGTTGGTGAAGTTAGGACAGACGTGATGACGTGAGGCGGGTTCTACCAAGTTGCTGTGTTTTTCTCTATTGAAGCTGGGTTTCACAGATGCTACCGAGGGTGCTAGTACTGAGATATTCCGGAACCCCGAGTTGAATGTGGGAAGACAGATTTGAATGAGTGCATGAGTCTGGAAAGGCCCAAGAGAAGAAACCCAGACAGGCCCACAAGCCCCTTAGTTGGGCTGTGAGTGGGGCAGTGTGAACTATGCTGCTGAGCTGTGCAGTGTGAAGGATTCAAGTTGGAAGTTGGTCTGTCCTTCCAGTGTTGCTGGCATCCAGTCCCTTCTCAGATGTAGCTGGGCCACTGCCTCTGTTTTCAGAGGTCCCACGGGGTCCCTCTCCATCATATAGGCCAGTGGTTCTCAACCTTCCTAATGCTGTGACCCTAATACAGTTCCTCATGTTGTGACCCTCAACTGTAAAGTTATTTTCATGCTACTTCATAACTGTAAGTTTACTTCTGTTATGAATCATAATGTAAATAACTGTTTCTAATGGTCTCAGACAATCAGTGTGAAATGACCCCCCCAACACACACACAAAGGCATGTCAACCCACAGGTTGAAAACCACTGCTCTAGGCACTACCATGTCCTGAATCACAGGGGGTGAGGGTAGATGGTCCAGGAGCTCTTGGCTGGCAGGACTCTGTGGCCCTATTGGTCTACTGTGCCCATGGGCCAGGGTCACTCAGACCTCCCAAGGAACCAAGGACAGGAAAGAAGCCCGTGCCCCGATTCTCCAGAGCTTCATGCCTTCCTTCTCAGTTTCCACTGAGGAAAGACTCTGCTGCTCCAACTCTGAGCAGGACTTCAGCACAGCTCCACCTACAGAAAAGCCTGTAAACGAGGGGAAGTCTCTACGTTCACTTACCTCACTGGCAATTCTTGGTTATCCCTGCTGAATTAATAGAAATCTTGTTGTTTTCCAGTTTCGTTTTGAGTTAAGGTCTCTCAATGAAGCCAGGGCTAGTAGGGAACTATGTGTAGACCAGGCTACTCTCAATGCGACACAGATTTGCATGCCTGTGCCTTCTAAGTGTTGGGATATAGGCATGTGCTACCATGTCCACAAGAAGTAGAAATCTGAGGAAAAAGCTAAACTTAAAAAAAAAAACATGTTCATGGCCAGGCATGGTGGTCCTCGCCTTTGATCCCAGGAACTGAAAGGCAGAGGCAGGCAGATCTCTGAACTGGAGGCCAGCTTGGTCTACAGAAACAGTTCCAGGAGAGCCAGGGCTACACAGAGAAAGGCTGTCTTGAAAAACCAAAACTAAAAAAGTGTTTATGGCGACCAAAGTATGAAAGTGAAAGGAGCAGGCCCCAAAAGTCATTAGTCCCAGGAACTAAGCCATAGGTCACCAACTCCAAGATTAATAAAACCATAAAATTCCCTACCTAGGAATAGCCTGGAGGTAACCACAAGAATGGGAAGGTATCTTCTCTCAGGGTGGACATCTGTGCTGGGCAGCCCACTGACCTAACGTTCCTCAGGTCTGTAGGTAGCTTGCTCAGTGTTAGTTATGTTAGTTAGCCAATCACTTTATAACAAGCCTGCCCTTGCTGAATATCATCCAATCATGTGACTGCTAAACTGGGAATTCTGGGTTCTTGCTCAACCCCCAAATAAAAACCCTGCAGTGCAGCTGCTCAGGGCTCTTCTTGTTATGCCCAGTTTGTGAGACCGCCAAAGACTGCTAGGAATCAAGTCCTGCAAAACACATGAGGATCTTTTTATTACAAGCTTGAGCCCAGGTTGCAACAACCTCCCTGGTTAAAAAGGAGGAGTGCAGTCTAGGGGAACAAGATTTTTAAAGGGAAAAAATGCAAGCAGGGAATTACATGCCTTGACGTTACATGATTGGGTAAGGGAAATTGACTTTTGAAATTATTGGTTTACTGTAGGCGCTAAGTCCATAAGCAGTCCTAGCCTGGCCATCTGGGTGGGTCGCCAGGAGATGGTATCTCTTTAAGTGGTTCCGGCCATTTGGGCCACTTTCCTAGCAACTGTATCTCTAGCAGGCAGGAAAAGAAAGCATTAAGGTTAGTTCCTCCCCTGCAGGTGTCTGGACATGTCTCCACCTGGCTGGCTTTTGTTCAGACTTATGCTTTAAACTGTAAACAAATACCCCCCAAAAATCTAATTTTTAAATTTTTTGTCTCTCATCCTCCCTGATCCACTGCATCAGTGACAGTGGAGTGACCCAGCTTAAGCTGGAAAAAAGCTCTTTGATCTTGCATTCATGGTCTGGCTCCTGGTGGTCTTTGGGAATCTTAAGATCTGGGCACAACATTTGGGGGCTTGTCCGGGATTCTCAACACAACCCCACCCCCGGACTCCCTGTGCATGGAGCTGAACACCAGCTGGTAAGTGAGCACTCTGTTCATGTGTGTCTGTGTCTCAGAGATATGTTTTTTGTTTCTTTGTGTTCTTGTTTGTGTGTCTACAAAACCAGAATAGTTCTTGGTTTTGGTTTCCTTTTGCAAAGGGAGTTGGAACTGGCCCATGGGATTGGTGGACTCACTGTAAATCCCCCGGCTTGAGGTTCTTGCCACCTCTTTGGGAGAACCTCTGTTCTCATTGGTTTTGGTTTTGGGGAGAGCCCGGAAGCTCTCAAACTGGTTCTTTGGTTCTGGATCCAGCAAACAATACTGCTGCAATTCCCTGCTCAGCCAGGTTTTCTCCAGGAACATTTGTGTCTGTTTGTGAATGTCCTTGTCCTTGTTTTTCGGTGGGTCTTCTTAAACTGATTTAACCATGGGTAAAACTTGAGTTTAGTTCTAAGCCAACAGAGCCACGGGGCTTCGAGGTTCAAACACAAGCCTCAGCTCGAGCCACTGTCCACAGATCTGCTCCTCTAGCCTTTAGCTGTGGGTGGGAAGGAGCCTGCTGGGAAGGCAGGCTGGCAACAATGGCCGTAGATGTACAAGCCTGGCCTCTGGGAAGAAAAATGGTGGTGGTGGCCACTTCTCTTCCAGAGTCAGCATGAGAGGGCAGAGGAGAGGAGGCATATCAAGGAAGGCTGCAGCCAGCCAGTACAAAGCACCTGAAATTACAGCTGGAGGAAGTAAGGAACATTTTGTCTGTTTGTTTTAAATGCATGTATAGCCACTACATGTTTATTTCTGACTGTTCTTAAATGGTTTATATGCTCTGTATGTTTTGGTTATAGATTAACAGTTATTGAATATGCTTAAAATTTAAATTCAAGCTCTAGTTTAAAACATATATGCGTGCATATGTGTTTGTAACATCTGTAGAAACACAGGTGTTTTAAATAGCAACCATGTGACTTGCCATGTGATGTGACTCTGCCTTAAACTGTGAACAAAGCTTTGGACACCTGGAGAGGCATTGTTTCATGGTGCTGAAAGCAACGTGAGAGCAGTCTGTCATGTTCTTTTTTCCACAGAAACAGTCTGTCACCTGTGCCTGATGGCCAGACTGCCTCTGCTCATGATGCTATAAGACCACAGGAGCCAGGGACAACTGCCTAGGTGGTGGACTGATTAGTCATCTTTGTCATTTTGATTGGTACATAGATTCATTTAGCTTATAATTTATCCTTCTCAGGTCTCTGATCAGATTGATGGTTAAGCTAAGTTAATGGTAGCTTTGCAACTAAAGAGCGGACAATTAGATCCACTGTTAGTTCATTAGTTAATTCCTTAGCTAGTTAGAACTATTAGGTTCTACATCTCTTATTTAGAAAGGCAAAGTGGTTTGCCTTCCCCACAGGCTTCATGTTAACTACCTGTGTCTTATGGTGAATAACTGGATAAAAAGATGTAAAGTTTATGTAAGGTCTGAGTATATGAAAGTTTAAGTTGTGAGGATCTAAAAAAATTGAGGATCTTGGAAGATGTTTCAAGGTTGGTAAATGAAAGTTACGAAGGAAAGCCTTTGTAAGAAGGTGTTCAAAGTTGGTACATGCAAGGAAGATTGGAGGGTCCAAGCAGGTATTTTAAGGTTGGTAAATGCAAGTTGTAAAGGACTTGTGGGTCTAAAAAGGTGTTTTAAGGTATGTGAATGCAAGTTGTAATGATCTGAGAAAGTACTTTAAGGCATATTGAAAATGGGAGCGATTTCAGATTTCTCCCCATGTCTATGCTACTGTTACGTTAACGTTGTTTTAAGATTTCAAAGGTTCAGAGTTTTGACATTGATCAATAGAGTTGGGATAAACTGATGGCACACTGACTGCTTATTATTCAGTCACAAGCTTGAGATTTTAATTTCCCTTTGGTTGACTTCTGGAGATAGACTTAAAGGTGCTTCTCATCATTCTAAAAACATGTCTGTCTAATTTGTATATCTGACCCAAAAGCCATCACCTTTACTAGGTCTTAATGGCATGACTCTACTGCTGTCTTGCAGACACCCGTTACATGCTTTTTCTAAAGTGTGGATCTCAATACAATGGTGATACTAATATACTTCCTTTTGTAAACTAAAATTCATATTGTTATACCCAGTTCACGAGCCCCCCAAAGACCTACAGGAATCAACTTCATCGCAAAACACACGAGGGTCTTTTTATTACAAGCTCGAGTT